AATCCTACTTCGCGGAATTTCATTTATCACGGTAGGGTCTAGAACCGATTACCGCGATAAACGAGGGTTCACTGTACCTTCCTCCCTACTTACCTATCTACCTTCCTCCCTACTTACCTATCTACCTTCCTCCCTGCTTACCTATCTACCTTCCTTCCTGCTCACACTTTGCTGCCACATCTCAGTCTCTTCTCTGGTAGGCCGGGTGGACATCTCGATCTTGGGGCTAACCCACACAGTAGGTAGTAAAACACGGAGCTGAAGGTTCAGTCTTCAGACAGGATCCCACAGAGCCAGTGGGTTATGTCTTCGTGCTGGAGCCTAACACCCAACTGCCGCTCCACACATGCTGTTATTGACTAGGATTGTTATGCATTACCTCTCTCAAGGAAGCCATGCCATGCCTCTGAAGTGGCCACCACCCAGTGTTCATGAGATGAGGTGACCCTTGGGCCTTAATCATCGTAGACAAGGGCTTTTGTCAGTGCCTTTCCCAGAATCACGTGCTTCTTCAGGCTCTTTGAAGAAAAGCAATGATTTTTGTATGGCTGCTCTTGTTCAACTCAAGATGGCTTCGGTTTGGGCTTTCAGTTGAAGGGTGTCATCTTGTTCTGTAGAGCCATTTCCCATGGAGTCTGGTGATTGGAGTTCCGCAGTGAGACTAGCAGTTTGGTTGACCAGGAATCTGCCCTCTGCTCCACTCCTATGCCTTCCACTCACTAGGGAATCCGCCACACGGTAGAGATCTCAAAAAGGGCAATTGGGAACAGGCGCTTTTGTCCATAAGCATAACTAATGATAACAGTAATAGTAATTTAAAAAAATGTCATTGAGTCTGGTCCAAGTCGTTCACCAGGCCTTTCTTCCGAGAAACCTCTGGGTGAGTTTGAACTGTCAACTCCTCTGCTATTAGTCTCTGAGGACCGAGTCATGAGGAATACCAGAGCTCCTAATGGTAGAAGGAGCTGAGCACTTGCACATGCCAGGCACTGTGGCAAGCATTGCACAGGCAGCTTCCCCTTTGGGCGACCCTGTGAGAAATTACAATGATCTACTTGACACTGCGGGTTGGAAAAGTTGTCCAAGATAACATGTAAGAAGACTTAGAGACACACTTCCTACTCAAGCCTCTCTAACTCCACAGTCAGCTTTCTGACCACTATCGTGTACTGGTTTGAAGAGCACTCAGCTACCTTTCAGAAACATTGGAAATTTCACCCTGAAAACCGCAGGACATCAGAGTTAAGATGTCATGAAAACATTGGGAAGTGGGCAGGGCCTTTTCTGGGTTTGTATTTTTTGATAATGTGGAGAGGTTGTAACTCAAGACCCTCATCCGAGCTTCGCCTGCCTCCATCTGATGGGAAAGGAACTGCCTGAAAGACCTGTCAGTACCTGTGACCATCCCTGCTCCCTGCTCGGGGGTGCCTCTCACCTGAGCCCTCTGTTGCTGCACTCAGCTCCTTGGCCGGGGCACCAGGGCGAATGCCCTTTGGTTTCACACAGCCACTTCCAACCAGTTTGCTCCATCTCTCGTTCCTCATTTGCTTGTTTCCCCTTTGCTCATTCATTCGGCATTTACTGAGTGTTGGGAAGGTGTACTGTGTTCTGGGGACAGAAAGCTGAAAGACGGTTATGTGTGTCGTTAAAATGCATAGCACAGGAGGTAGAGCAATCCGGAACGTTTTGTGACGTAATGACGATGCTTCTCCTGAACTGGGTCTCAAGACATGTATCCAGTGCCTCTCGGGAATGTGGGCATGGAAAAAGTAGGCATCCCAGGGAGAGGAGGCAGCTTTTAAAAAGACACACTTGGTTCAGAACATAGAGTTTTCGTGTACCTGCAGGGTAGATGTAGAGCAGTGGTTTTCAACCTTCCTAAGGCTGTGACCCTTTCATACAGTTCCTCATGTTGTGGTGACCCCCCAACCATAACATTATTTTCACTGCTACTTCGTCACTGTCATTTCACTACTGTTCTGATCAGACAACCCCTGTAAAATGGTCGTTCGACTCCCCAAAGGAGTCACAACCCACAGGTTGAGAATCACTGATCTAGAGTTTGAGGAGGCCAAAGAGAAAACTGGAAAGTTTGCCCAAGCCAGGGATTGAAGTGCTTGACCAACTAACTGAGAGATTGGAGGTTCTAGTCCACCCAGAGGTATCTTGGAAGAAAGGCCTGGTGATTTACTTCCTTAAAATCAGCCATGAATTGTTCTAAGAGCTATATGAGCCTCCAGTAAAATGATTTAAATAAAACAAAAGCAAAGCAGCCATTGAAATCCCCCAGGCATGTTTACAGTGATCTTTTTGTAATTCTAGGTTCTGGTTAAGATGAAAATGACATTGGAGGTTTACGTTTTACCAAGTCTCTGAGCAGTGACACATTTTCATTAGACTCCAAGAATGCCCAAAAGACCTTACTGGAAATATGTTCATGTTGGTGCCATACTACTCTGTTTTTTCACCGTTTCACAGGTTTTATTTCACCACCATCCCTCCCCGCCTCCCCCAACAAGTTGTATCGATAGCATGCGAGCTGTTTTATAATATGGCTATGAGGCACAGCAGGGCTCTTGAGTAACCTTCATATTTTACTCCTAATCATTGCAGTGTGGCAAACCCCTCCCTGGCCTTTCAAAACAAGAGGACTGCTGTGGGACCGTGGGCACCTCGTGGGGCTTTAACAAATGCCAGAAATGCCCCAAGAAACCAGGTAAGTGACATGGCCTTGTTCCTTGGCAGGTCATTCATTGGTGTATATAGACTTTTTCATGGTGAATGGTTTAATGACATGGCAGTGTTAGACTTTGGGGGAACTCTCATCAGAGTCTAGAACAGTGGTTCTCAACCTGTGGGTCATGACCCCTTTGGGGGTTGAATAACCCTTTCACAAGGGACGCCCGATTCAGCCTAGTAGCAAAATGACAGTTATGAAGTAGCAATGAAAATAACTTAATGGTTGGGGGGCCACCACATGAGGCACTGTATGAAAGGGTCCCGGCATTAGGAAGGTTGGGAACCACTCATCTAGAAGGGGTATTTTCATTTTCAGAAATCCTGCCAGTCAGAGACGGGCTTCATCTTGATAACAGTTTAAAATAAGCAGGCCTTATCAAGTGATTTCTCTAGTGAGATTCCTTGCAAAGGCAAGTCTGTGTGTGTATGTGTGTGCTTTTTATTTCTAGGAAGGGCGTTTATAGCTCTCATCAAATTCTTTTCGTTTTTAGAATTGTTTAGACCCTGCAGAGGCATCCTGAGTTGGAACTGACTTGATGGCAGTCAGTCTGAGTTGAGTGGAACGGATGGGTTCGAAGGGAAGTCTTAGAGAGGATAGCTTCATTGTTCTTGGGTGAAGAGAAAAAGGGGTTTCTTTCAAAATCACTCCCTAAATTAAGTTGTTATTACTATTTATAGCCTATAGTAGTTTTTGTTCATGGAATATATATCTAAGGGGTGCCACTATCAGCAAACTGAAGTAGAAAAATCATCAGCTGCCAGTTGGTGAATGAGAAATTTTTGACCCTTAGGCTGAAACACTGGTTTTCCCGTAGCCCCTGCTGTTACCACAGTCCTCATTGACAGGAATCAGTACTAGTACCCGCATGTCGTGATTACCCCACAGTTTGTGTTTAAGAACCTGCTGGTTTGAATAAAGCTAGGTGTTCACCTATTTTTTTCAGTTTTTAAACATAGCTTTACTCCAAATAACTGTTTTTTTTAATAACGGATTTCATATATATATATATATATTAAGGCAGGTAACTTGTTTTTTGAATTTTGAGCTTTACCTCAGCTGTTCTACTTTTTTGGCAGTGGAGCAAGTGATATTTCATCGATGTTGCCTTCCTTTGTCTTCCTGTAGCTCAACAGTACTGGTCGTTCTTGTTGGATGTGATGCAGTGGGGTACCTCATTTGTGTCCGTTGGGGACCTG